ACCGCTGCCGGACTTCAATCATCAAGTCTTCAAGGAAATTTCAACTTCTCTGTTGAAAACATGCTGGGGATGACACATCTCCGCTGGGGATTCTGGAGAACTATGAAGTAACTCTGCTTCAGGGATTTCAAAAACCATTCTGGACGAATCAACTCCGCTGAGGAATTCAAGAATCATCTTGGACAAATAACTCCGTCGGGGACTTCAAGAATCATCCTGAACCAATAACTCTGCTGGAGATTTCAGGAATCATCCTGTTGCACCTTAATTTTTGACCTTAAGACTCCACCTCCTCATGTGTTTTCTCACGTTTTATCTTTTTACATTTTATGTGCGACTAACGAGTGCGTGCAGGTTTATTTTGTTTTAAAGACATCTCTGGCGGATCTTGTGATTAGATCCCCTTAAATTAGGATATTGGTCCCTTTCAGGTTTTCTCTATTTATAAGGGAAGGCTGGTCAAGATGGGGTTCATACGGGAATTAAGATTGCAGACTCATAGGTTAAGGCATTGGTGATGCAAGATAATTTGGATTCAAACTTAAGAATGATTCAATTGGTGCGTCTCATATGGATTGAATTGGTATCCAAATTTCATCAATTGTATTCTAATATTTCAAGACTCTTGTTCTTCAATACGCTTGGATTAAACGCGAATTTAAGTCATCATTTTGGTTAAGATGTTCAAGTTTCGGAATTTATAAATTTAAGGTGACGTCCAAATTCAAAGGAGGATCGCAAGTTCATGCAATTATGAGCACAAGTTCAAGTCCTTTTGAGACCTGTTAGACATATTTGCAAGTTCATTGTAAAAGAATTGACTAAGGGATTCATAATTCTACACAATCGACGTCAAATTCACATGATAAAATTTCAATATATATTACAAGTCACTCTATTACAAGATACAATTGGTAAATTCACCATTCAAAGATTGCATGATGTTAACATTTACATGAAGAATTATTACAAAGGTTTTCCATTTTATTCAATGGTTTTTGAACAAACACCCCCTTTCGAAGCTTTCGTCAAGTTTGGGATGTTTTAACTTTATGGGGATGGAACCCCTTTTTGATATTCTTAATACCGCTGCAGTGATAAGTGTGACAAGGATTGGAGGTTGCACATATGAGCTCCACGGTAATTCAAACATATTCATAGTAAACCAATATGGATTACAAAGCATTATCTACTTTATGACTATGAGCAACTCAGTATACAACAAGCTATCTGGCATAAAATCCTAGGACCTGAAGAGCTAAACTTCCGTTGAGCAACCGCTAATTTTCCTCTAATACCGCAATACGACAAGTTTCACCTCGCTTATGCGGGAGGTTTTTTTTGGAAAGCCACTTGCACCTGAAAGGAAAGGGATACCCAAGCTGTAAATTAAGAGATGTACCACTTTCTGAAAAGACTTCAAATAGAAACAGCCTTATGAAACAACAGCGGAAGCAGATGTTAGGATTTGAAGCACTTACGAAGTTTCGAATACGGCCTTGACACAATACACCATGGAAGGATTAGAAGTTCAAGTTGACTGCACCCCCTTTACTGGAAGTGCCACACAACGACATCCATTTCACAGCAGGTTCACCAAACATCATTTAGCGACAAACAACCATTACCATCCCTATCAACCGGCGTTAATGCATTCCTAGCTCACCATTATGCTGCAATGTTGAATCAAACGAACCTAAATGATGCAACTTCAGTTTCTAGACAAGATATTCAAGGGAAAACCATATTTGGTTCAGTTGCTCCTGATATTAATAGTGGACTGAATAGGGAGAATCTGCAGCAAAGGATTCTGAGCAAAGAGATGTACCAGTGGAAGATTTTCATACGAGGCAAGAACTGGCTGGATCTTCTGTGCAAGCTCCTCCGGTTACCGCAATTAAAGCACTCAGAGGTGCACTCTGTTGTTTCCACATATGGCCATTGCAAGGATCCACGCACCAAGACGGAAGCGGCTCCAAGCCTTTGGTCAGGTTGAAAGCCATAAGCAGCCATTTGTTCCAAGACTGTTTCAAATAAAATTTTCGTCACCTCCAGAGGAACTGTTCAGGAAATTCAATCATAAAATACGAATTCAATCAACTAAATACAACAGCCATTGTATAAGCGCAAGAGGACAAAACGACAACCCTTGTTGCATGATATACCGCTAGCAGCCTGTGTCACACGCTCGAACTCTGATGCGGAAACAATTCAAAGCCATGCCATTTCTCAGAAGTTTACCTCCGCGTATGTCGCCAGGACCGCTCGCATTGATGCCAACTTTGTAGAACCATACAGCCAAATCTTTGAGTTGTAACCAAACTGTCTGCACAAATAAAAGCGTAATACGTCCGTGAACATATTACCAGCCATAATATTAAACCAAGAAATTACAAGAGGAATTCAGGTCTGTTATTAATTTCAAACAATCCTAGTTTACATAACATGGGAGCATACTATGTCAAGATGCAGAGCACTCCTTGCTCCATTGATTTTTTGCTTTCTCGCATGCCAAAACCGTGACTCGTGTGTCGCAGCCGTATGGATCAATTTGTGAAACCCATTTACCCCGCGATGAAGCAGACCGTTGAAAAGTACAAGACCACTACGTGTGAGGGCAAGTTGTCTCACAATACAGGCCTCCGAGTTTTCGATGATGACAACACATAACCTTGGACAAATTAGAAGCATCATGCAATACTTCAACATGCTATACCTCTTTTTCATTGTTAAATCATCTTACCTTAATATGAGTCATAACTGAATGTGGCAGGATGCACAAAATGGAAAAAGCTGTTATTTTTGCAGGTTTCTAAGCAGTGAGTCGACCATACAGTCGGCGCATGAAGCCTGGCATTTCTCACGGCTCAGCGCATGGAAGCAATGCGTCGACCGTACAGTCGGCGCATGGGTGTTTTGATTTTCCACGGATCAGCGCATGAAGACATGCGTCGACCATGCCACTCAGCGCATGAAGCTGTGTATTTCCCACGGGTCAGCGCACGCCGACCCTATGGTCGACCGTTCGCGCGCTGTGCAGTTTTTCTTGCTGTGTTTTAAAATTCTGTTCAGTTGACTGTTTTGGTTATTACTATAAATAGAGTTTTGCTTATTTTTGACAAACTAACAATTGAAATCTTGAGTAAATTGTCAGGGCAAGAAACGTGAAATAGGTGCAACATATTTCTTCATCTTCATCCTTCAAACAACACACAAATCCACAAATATACACAATCATTTTTGCTGTGATTGGTGTCTTGTTCAAGGGTGATAAGGTTCGAACGCGTTGATTGAAGATCCGGTTCGAGTGGAAATTGGGGCAGGTGTTTCTTGCAGAAAACCTTGAGGGTTTTACCCATCAAGACTAGAAGGTTTTGAGGGCTTTTGCTACGGAATAGTTCGTTCAACATTCAAGCAAGTGCGAAGGTAATTGATCAACGGAAGGTTCATCAATTTAGTAGCTAGGGCGTTGAAGTGTTGAAGACTTTCCGGTTTTTGATTTGTTGGTGTCTAAGATCAGCCGAGCCGAAGGTTTGAACAATAGAAGGTTTTTCATTAAGGTGGCTGGAATCGGAGATCATTCACAACAAATTGAAGGGCTTGATTCATCTTGAATCAAGGTGCAAGAAGTGATAGCAAGCATCAACATCATTTGAGATTCTTTGTATCATTGTCTATCAACTCTTGTGTAAAATGTTCATTCCAACAGGTGATATATATTCAATATATCTCAATTCTAATTTTAGAATTGAGGGCAGACGTACCCCGAAGCGAGGACGACGGGGGAACTGCCTCATCAAATCGTGTGTTCTTTAGTTTTTGTCATTTTCAATTCAGCTTATAAAATAAGTGATTCTAGCTTAAGTGATTATTGTCAAACTGTGATACAAATTGAGTAAGGTGTTGAAACTCTGTTTTAACTACTAAGTACAATAAAAATATTGTACTAAGGCATTTCCAATCTCTTACTCAACATAAATATCCTTTGAGATATTTGTGCACACAAACTGTTCGACAAAAGTCCTGGACTAAAATTGTCTTATTTTGCTTCTAGTTTTTGTGTGCCTTGTTTTTCATTGGAACTAGGTAACCTTGCAAATTGAAGTAAATAATTGATAAGCATAGTTTGTGTTGTGATTCTATTTTTTCCGAATTGTCATAAATCCATAGGCTTATGTATATCCGGTTTTCCAATAACCGTTCGTTTTAGACTACAATTTTCCTCGGCCGCTTCCGCACTTAAAAACATTTTTAAAACCAATTTCAAATTGGTAGCGCCGACTCAAATTTTAATTGGGGATCTATTCAACCCCCCTTCTAGATCCGTGCCATAGTCTAACACTACACAACTCTATCCTGGAATGAGATGCAAGTGTAGCAGAGCACCGTCCATCTTCATTCCCCAGAAAAGTCGGCTGCACAAAGTTAAAACATAAGTTTAGTAGCAGAAAAGTTGAGTTCATCAATCAAAAGCAACCAAAACATAGAAACCAACTACAGACATTGGTTAATTGAATTCCGAAAGGCAGCATCGTTCATGATAAATTGAAGAATGAAAGTTCAAACCCGCCACAATAAACTGCGAGCTCCAATGCCAAAATAATCATCGTTGCTGAGTCTAGGAGCTCATCCGGTTACGGCAACCTACTCAACCTGTAAGGAGAAAGTGGAGAATCAATTCTAAATTGTTACACAACAGGCTAGATTGGAATTAAGAATTAAGAATAAACTTACCGTTCGTATCCAGCTGTTGCGTAAACCACTCACTTCAGTCTTGGCTCATCTCTTCCAAACCACTCTTAGCAAAGGCTTGAAACCTTGAATAAACGAAGCCGCCCTAACCATAAGAAATCAGACCAGAATTAGAAGAATGAAGTATTCACTTAAAAGCCAAACTTATGAAAGTAGAAACTCTTCCTACCTCGGGTCCCTTCAAGGAATTCATCTCTCTAATTTAAGGCTCAATCTGCACCCTCTACGCACATCGTCTTCAACAAAAGATGACAGGAACTGAAGATGAAGTGGAAAAAGCTTCTCACGGTAATGATTGGGAGGTCATATCTCTCACGGCGTCAAATTATGCAGCTGCACCCGGTCCTGATAAAGTTGAGTTGAAGAATGATGACAAGGAAGATGCATATGCACCAAATGAAACTGGGACATCAAACGCTTTGTTCATGTTTGGTCACTTTGCGTTTCCACCCAGTCGGCATGAATTTTCCATCGGAACCTGTTTATGGCGAGATTCAAAGTGAGTCTGGAGATAAAGATAATGCTTTTGAAGAGACTCGTGAAGAAGCTACCAGACCTAGTGGAAAAGAGGAAGAAAATTGACATTAGCAGGGTTGGATGTGTCAAAGGGGTTTGAGAGTATGCAATATTATGACCAGAAAATCAACGAATTATCCGTTCGTGGAAAATAGTTTGAGGAAAATACAACTCTACCGGATTTTGGTTTGACTGTAGAAGAGGAAAGTATGTATCACCCTGCAAAATACACTTCTTTCCCTAGTGAAACAGATAGTGGAACTTTGACAGCACTTGGTGAAAGCATAGTTGAGTCTGAAACAACTGAATCAGCAGAGCTAGGGACGGATGTATCTCCTGATGATTTATCACTGTCAAAGAACCCTCCCCAAGGACGCAAACAACGCATCTCCAGAGTTAAAAACATAGCAGGACACGGTTCAAAATCCCAAATAGGTCAAGAATGCCAATAGCATTTACTCATGCAATCAAACAATAAAACCACAATTTGAAACCTCAAACAAGTTTAATGCATTCTAAAGCAGGATAAGAACATGTTGCCTTAAGAATAGAAAGTAATTTACCACTTTGTCTTTTGAGATCGAACATAGCAGACGAATACGGAAAGAAAGGATCAGCGCTTTAATTCCAGCCATCAATCCTGCACCCAGAGGATCCGCGTGTACCTATAAAGGACAAGAAATTGAGATGAAGGAGAAAATACACAACAGTCCATCATAAAACCCCACAAAGTCCCCAAATTGATCCCGTGTTCAAAAAACCAAAACGATAAGAAACTTATCTCTTGAGCTCCACCACCATTAGCTCCAACGTGCGTCACCAAACCACCGCCAGAGGATTTGAAGCGAAACCTGTAACGCCCCATATTGCTTTCAGGATTACCGACTGACCCCACAAACCAACACGGGTCTTTTCAGCATGCTTTGTCCTCAATCACACGCCTTCTAGGAAACTTCCCAGAAGGTCACCCATCCCAGAATTGCTCCAAGTCAAGCACGCTTAACTGTGGAGTTCTTATGAACGGGCTACCGAAAAGAAGATGCATCTTGTTGGTATAGGTAGTACCAATTAATCCTTATAAGTCTTCATTCAACCATGCAGTCCCATACCTGCATAGCCTCAGGATCCCTCTCATTCGGATGTGAATTCGGTTTTCCCCTAGAAGCTGCTAGGAGTGTCCCATTATCATGCCTCATGACACCGACAACCACTCCCTCGCCCACGGGTGTTACATGTAACCACCGTCCTCTTTCACCTCAGGTGTTACATGCCCACCAGCTTCCGCTTGGTTCGTCCCCGAACCACATCGTACTGGGAGAGGTATGGCTCTGATACCATTTGTAACGCCCCGTATTGCTTTCAGGATTACCGACTGACCCCACAAACCAACACGAGTCTTTTCCGCATGCTTTTTCCTCACTCACATGCTTTCCGGGAAACTTCCCAGAAGGTCACCCATCCCAGAATTGCTCCAAGTCAAGCACACTTAACTGTGGAGTTCTTATGAACGAGCTACCGAAAACAAGATGCATCTTCTTTTCGGTAGCCCGTTCATAAGAACTCCACAGTTAAGCGTGCTTGACTTGGAGCAATTCTGGGATGGGTGACCTTCTGGGAAGTTTCCCGGAAAGCATGTGAGTGAGGAAAAAGCATGCGGAAAAGACTCGTGTTGGTTTGTGGGGTCAGTCGGTAATCCTGAAAGCAATACGGGGCGTTACAAATGGTATCAGAAAAGCTGCCGACACTCTCATGCGCTCGCAAGCTTGCGGAACCCTCCGTCAAGATCCCCGCAAATCCTTTTTTTACCACTCATTGATTTCCCCTTTGCTACCATTGTTGTTGCTTTTGTTTGTCTCGATGTAGGAAAGGATGAAGACAAAGGAGGCAGAAGGAGAAGAGAAGAAATGGTGAGAGATGGAAGAAATGTGGAAGACGAGATCGAGAAAAGGAAGAAAATCGCAGATGTAGCGGCGAGATCGAAAGGAAAACGGAGGATTCAAAGAGAGAAGAAGGAGGGGATCGCGATCGGAGAAAGGGAGAAGAAAGGGGGGTTCGGGGCGATTTAGGGTTTAGTTTTTTTGGTGTCCATTTTTCAATTTTGTGTAATCCTGTGTATACATACTCATCATAATACAATACACCCACACACCACGACACTCAGATCACCATCACATGATCACCTGCACACGTCCATGATAGACCATCAAGTCCCGCGCCACACTAAATCATCTGCTAACCACCCTTTAGACCTCTAATCTGATTTGATCAACAATTAATCTACAATTAACCTAATTAATTAGTTAGTAATTCTTCCTTTTAAACCAGCCACATCAAACAAGTCCCTTTATTCTAATTAATCCTAAAAAGAATCTATTTAAAATTAATCCATTTAATCAACTTTTCATTGTGTTTGCTAATAACTTTTATTAATATGTTTCTAAACTAATTAACTTGTTCATTTTTATTTAATCAACCTTTTTTTTTATAAAACCAACTTATTTCTATTTCACTCAATTTGTTTTATTTAACCATTTTATTAGGTTTAATAATTCTCTTACCATAAAACCTTTTCTAAATAATAAGATAATTAATTTATAAAATTATTCTCTTCTAAAATAATACAAGGACAATATTTTCATATAATTTAAATAATTGGCATGTTTTTTATAATAACAATAAACCCTTTTTTTTAATCAACTTTCAACTTTTTTATAATAATTAAGAGTTCCTTTTAATAAACTTTTATATGATAAAAACCCTTTTCATAATTAATAATTAAACAACTATTCTTTTTAATAAAAAAAAACTCACTCGTGGAAATCCTTTTTTAAAAGATAATAATCTTTTAGGATAAATTTAATAATAACTTTATATTTATAATAAACAAATAAAATAATTTTATATAGTAAAAGTCATTTTTATAATTTAAATAACATTATTTCACTTGTCAATAATAAAAAACTAAACCTTTTTTTTATGTTAGAAAACCTTTTAAGTAAATTAACTTTTAATATGATAATAAAAACTAATCTCACATATTCCTCCTAATGATTTCTCGAAACTAATCTGCTTAAAATAATCAAATAAATTCTTAAAAATCAAATTCACTTAATCTAATAATATAATTTCTCACAAAGCCAACCTCACCTAAAGTAATTATTCACATGGGTGCAATTCAACTAAAATCAATTAACCACACCAATTCAAACATTTTCTTAATCAAAATCAATCCCCTCAAAATCAATTCAACCAATTCAAATCAACCCCAGCGTAAAATACAAATTAATTATGCACGTTCACGACACTTGCACCTACACCTCAGCGCTTTCATGCGTATGTGTATGCTTTATCATTTCCGCAATTTATTTTTACGAGCAATTTACATTATCGTATTTATATTATTGCATCGCATCCTGTCCAAAGGAAAACCCTACACATGATTCAACAATCGTGTATAGTGCACATAATTTGCATCATACTCCCTTCGATCCTTGATCCCATTCAAGTTGATCGCTTAAGATAGATCCTACCCCATAGGAAGAACCGTGTCTTCTATCTTCACAACATAGGAAAACAAACAAAACAAGACAAACAACTCAAGACAATACATTCAAACACATTAGAGAAAGATGCCAAATCATCTTAAGCGAGATAGAATCTCCACCTCACAACAATACAATCAAGCCGTAGGGACTTTGCCTTAAGAGAGTTAAAGGTGTACCTCGTTGATCCCTATCCGAGTACGTAAATCCTTTTCTTAAGACGATGCAAAGACTATTTTCCTACAATTTGTGGCGGTTAAATCTCCCTTAAAATGAAGACACATCTCTTCTCCTAAAATCAACCAACTACCCTAAACCCGTAGGAACTTTGACCACAGTCAAAGAACTCCTCATACCTTTCAGGGGAACTACAGGTACTCTGATTCCACTCCCGTAAGGATATGTAGGCATAAGATGCGACATCTTATCGAGTATACTTAGATATAAACCACTAGGTCTTTCAACCATTAGGCAGATAAACACTTAGCAACAAACAAACATAAAACAAGAGGTTCCTGTAGAGTACTACAGAAACTTAGGATGCTAGAACCTTCCCTAAGTTTAACCAACCCCCGAACCTAAACTCTCTAAAACCTTGCATTTGCATTGCATTGTGGGTATTTCGATCTTTATCCCTTCCTTTGGACAAATCAAAGTTCGGTTGCAAATTGAATTAAAGATTCAAACTAATCAATAGTTTGGTATCCAAATTCCACCGCGGCACATCCAGAGCAAACAACTTCGCTGGGGGTTTAAAGAATCATCCTGAACCAATAACTCTGATGGAGATTTCAGGAATCATCCTGCACAAACACTCTGCCGGGGACAGTTTTCAAAATCCATTCCTGCAATACATATGACAGTTTTCAAAATCCATTCCTGTTCACTGGGAAAAAAAATTTATGACATAAAATATATGAAATTATTCATCAACATGTCAATATTAATACAATGCTGTAATGGGAATCCTATCTAGGAGTCAGTTCCGATGCAATATTTACCGAAGTATGCTCTCGAAACAAACCTATTTCAATTAGGTCTTTTAAAGGTTGTAACGTGGTCAGGTTCACGGTTTAAGAAAGAAAGGATATAGGCTCAAAATTAATTTTAACCCACCTATTCTCCTTGATGTTCTCCGATCCTACGTTCAGCTAATTCGACCTTAACGTTCCCCTTTCAAAGGTTATATGACCGGAGTGACGGCTCAGGAGACCACAAGTTTTTGGAGTGACAGTCATTCGCTTTTTGTTTTTGTTTGGGCACCGGTAGCCATACGATTTCGTTCTTGTTTGAGGATTTTCTTTCGTAATCCTTTTTCTCCTTTCATTTTTCCTTTTTTCGTTTTTCCCCCAACTTTTGCCTGGACTAACTCTTTACAGTTTCTTCAATCTTGAAGTCCAGCGGGGTACCCTAATTTTTTCCTAAGTCGCTTGCTTTCAAGATTC